AAAGCAGGACACTGCGATCGGGACCCCAGTTATGCAAACCTCTTTATGGCACAGGGGGGATCAGTAGCCATTTGGGTTGAACATGCCTGGCGGGCAAATCTGGTTTCATACTTTTGATATATAGATGACCTTTTTTTATCTGGAAGGGTACAGAAAATTCCCTAACACAATTCTTAAATCATCTTAATAACACACACTGCATTATCTTAACTTCAGAACACAGCAGCAATAGTATTAACTTTTTAGATTTAGACACTTTTATTAAAGAAGGCACCATCCATACAAAAACTTTTTTTAAACAAGTCTGCACAAACACGGTAATTGATCAATCTAGTTGCCATTTTAAAATCCTGGTTGGATGGCATCCCTAAAAGACATTTTCTATGCCTCTGAAGAAATTGTTCAGACACTAAAGATTTTAAAGAACAGGCACAATCACTAAAAGAAAAATGAATTGACAAAAATTACCTACAGACAAACCTTAATAAAACTCTAGAAATGATCCCCAATAAAGATAGAAAGGAACTTTTAGAATACAAACCAAAAAACATGAAAAACTCTCCATTTACACCTGTCATTTTGAATTTTAAGAATAGAAGCACAATTGTTAAAAAAAATCATTAATAAGCACTGGCACATTTTTAAAATAAGAAGAAGTTTTAAGAGATTTTACAATATGTGGGCATGAACTCGAGATGTCTAAAAACTAGACTGGCAGAACATTGCCACAACATTATAAAAGGCTATTCAAATCATTCTGTATCAAAACATTTTATAATAAGTGAAAAAAAAAACTAAATACCTAAAATGTATAGAGATACAAAGATGCAAACTCCCATGGAGAGGTGGTGATATCAAAAAGATTTTAGGTCAGAAAGAAATGTACTGGGTTTTCCTTCTAAAAACATTTAACGCAGAAGGGTTACATGCAGGTTTTGACCTTTTTAATTTTTTTATAATTGTTTATAATTCTTTATAACCTCTTAATAATGTAACCGCAGGTGGTTTCCTTATTTACCACTATAATTTCTTAATGCATAGAACTTAGTAGGGCTAACCATACAGATATCTTAGCCATAATTTTATATAGTTAGTGTAAGAGATCCTCTATTTAACTTATATAAATAATTGAGAATACAATATAAAATAAGGATTGTCTTGGAAGCAATAGTTTTGTCTTTTTGGATATTTATTGTATAAAAATATAAATATAAAATCCATTATAGCAGAGTTTATAAGATTAAATTACATGCTTGCAAATATCATTAATCTGTTAACATACCCTTCTGAACATGTCATCATGTCAGCCTCTCTGTCATTTTAAGATGGAGCAGCGTCTGTCTCCAAGTCTCTCCTCTGTTTCTTAACATTTAAAAGTACACCTATATATACCTTAGGTGTCTCCATTTTGGGGTTACCGTAGTTCAAATATGAAAAAGTAACACTTTTTTTACTTTATTCATTTTATGACCTCCCTTAATTTGGCAAACATACAAGGTCATAACTAAAGGGTGTATACATCATGGAAATTTTCCTGACTTAGTTCAAGATGGCATCTTAAAGTCTGAATAGCTTATCTGTTGTTTATACTAAGTCGTAAGTGCACAGTCTTGGGAGATTCCCGGATTTGGGGAAGTTCCAATAACTTGGGGTTACAACAGTATATTGTGTACTGAAAGAGTCGTAATATAGCCTTGAAACTTGTTTATGCATTATTGTTTTTGTAATTCGTCTGGGACAAAATGGCGCAAACATATTATGCACTGGGGTTATTGCTTAAAGAAACAGTTATGAAAAACAATATGTTCCATTTCTAACACCTTGTCAGTTTGCAATACCTCTTAAAGACAAAGTACACAGTTTAAGAAATACAACATTTCATTCTAAAACTTGTAATATTTGCATTTGCCCATAACAATAACAATGATGTATTTAATTTCTATGCAACAAATAAGCCTTTTTTTAGTACCATTTCTAAAAATATTTGATGGAACGCATTATCTGCCAACGTCCGTCGGTCTGGATACAGCATGAAAGTGAGGCTTGGTCCGCAATCCCATAAACGCCTTAGGGGTGTACCTGGAAGTACTCCGGAGGTTGAATCCGGAAGCATGTCATGGAACGCAGATTGGGCTAATTGCTTAGCGCCAATACCAGATGGATTTAAGGAGATTATTGGCACAGTGCATTTTATGCCTTATGCCTGCATGTGAAGGAAATCCTGCTATATGCCCCTGAGGAAGTTCAAAGCACATTGAACGAAACGCGTAGAGCTTGTTACAGAGTATATATTTTAATATTTTCTTTTATTTGTTTTTTTATTTAATGTTTCCTGGTTTTCCTGCCCCTTTGGACCTTGGGACCAGAATACTTGTTCAACAGATTTTGATGTGCCTGTTCACCACTTTCATCTTGTAAGTGTGTTTTTTATTAAAGAAGTAACTATTCTCAAAACAACAGCACATGGAGAGACAAAATAGTATAAGAACAGCCAGGTGCAAACCATATAAACACTCCCTCAAGTGCTTTAAATATTCAAATGTATATAGAATGCACACTATAACAATCTCAAAAAAGCTTTATTATGTACAAAAAAGTACCAAAGTGAAAACATATAAGAAAAAATAAACAAAGTGAAAGAAGCAAGGGCAAATACAATAAAATAATAATAAATTACCACAAAAATTCTTACAAGCCTCAAGACAGAAACACAGTCACCAAACCCCTTGAGGGGGTTAGGTACCCTTGATAAAGGCAGCTAGTTGGTGCCGAAATGTTGGGGTGTTTGGTGACTCGTGTTTCTGTCTTGAGGCTTGTAAGAATGTTTGTGGTGATTTATTATTTTATTGTATTTGCCCTTGCTTCTGTCACTTTGTTTATTTTTTCTTATATGTTTACACTCTGGTACTTTTTTGTACATAATAAAGCTAAGTTTATTATTCTATATACATTTTATTAAAGAAGTGTCATTTTTGAGGACTAGGAGGAGTCCTTGTCTACAATACTATCAGTCAAGGGTAACTGTTGTAATTTTTTACCTATTACCCACAGAGTGTGTTTTCTGTCCACATATAGTATATAGTGGTATAGTAGTGTATCTGTATATATTATATATTTTATAAAAATATTTGCAGCAACTTGCCTTTTTGTGTTTATTTTTATTCATATTTATTTTAATTGCTTTCTTTCTATTCATGTTTTATGTAAACTGTATGCATTTTTCCCTTTCTTTATATGTATCCATTGCTAACACAGAGACAACAATATCCCCCTTATTAAATCCCTCCTTCCCCCCTCTCTTATCTATATCTTTATTTGGGTTTTATTTTGCCCATTTATATGACTCTTTATGCCCCTCTCACATAAACTTTCACTCTTCATGGACTCATTCCACACCCACAGCTAATCCCTCCCTTCCACCATCACAGCACGATCAGCTGCATCTATTCCCCTGTCTGTGGCATTAAACCACGCCCCCGGCCAAGAACCAAGCCCCCTCACCTCTTTCACTACATTTCCTCCCCTTAGCCCGGCCCATCTGGCCGCACATCCTAATTACTACTATTCCCAATACACCTAGCGGTATGTCACATGGTCGGCCCGATTTCCAATATGGATGCTGATTACGTGACCAATGAAAATCATTTTTTTTACCCATTTACAATGCTAATTTTAATGCCAAATTTCAGGGGAAGATGCCCTGTCTTGTATTCTTTATATATACATAATTTTTATTGAAATTCAAAAATGTGTATTGTTTTCTATGACGTCATTTGGGCGCGTTGTGGATATTTTATAATTTTATTCTTGTAACGGAACTTCCTGTACCCCGGTTGGGTACCTCCACCGACGAATGCTCCTAGTGCTCACCGAGGACTCTAAGCACTCCACCAGACACCATCAGCACTGCAGTCCCCACGTCCAGCGTTACAGCTTGGCTGGGACTTGCTGTCCTCCACCCACCCTGGACCTACAACAAGGCTCCGGATTCCAATGGGTGAACCTGTCTTCCTCCAGAGAGTCAAGCAGGATTAGCTCTTAAAAGAGCTTAGTGATTATACTTCCTGGGGAGTATAGTAATATAGCAATCCCCAGGATAGATGCAGCCTTTCCCCCCACACATGAGATGAGACTCTATGTTGAGGATAAAACAGGAACTCTTTAATGCAAGCCAGCACTTACAATTTAGACACACATTTAAACCTCCAACAGCCTCATTTACATACATAGAGCACTATAGTACCAGGATGGGGTCAGACAATAGCAAGGGATGATGGGAGATTTAGGAGGGACAAAGCAGCCAGTTTAAACTGGTCTGGCAGTGTCCCTGGGACAACGCCCTGCTGAGGAAACAATAGGACAGGGAAAAAGGGGAGGGGAAGAGGCACATTTTCCCATGGAAGTCATTTTTTAACATGTCTTTTTGCAGGGCCCATATTCTTTGGGCAGGATGCTGGCAAACAGGCCCCTCACGCCTGAGTCTTTGAGAAGTCTTCCTGCTCAGTCATATGTGAGTAAACATTTTATTATTTATACTCCTATATACAATTTTATACAGCGAGCGCTATCAGTTGTCTCTCTTCTCTCTTATCCTCTCTATGGTCTACATTTTGGTACGATACTTATCACTCTACACGTATCCTATAAGCGGGGATTATACCGCTGTATGCCATTCAGACTAGAGCTGGTTCAAGCTCTACTGCACGTGAGTAGGACTACATTAGATCCTGTTGTTCAATCTAATATCCATCTGTACTAGACATATTGCACCATCATTTCTCTCTCTTTTCCACATATGGATCAAAAGACCAATACCTCTCTATATATCCTATAAGCGGGGATTGTACCGCTGTATGCCATCCACACTAGAGCTAGTTTAAGCTCTGCTGCACAGGAGTAGGCTTACCATAGACTCCTTTTTCCTGCTATCCAGTTCGTGTACTAGACGTATTGCACTATTATCTTCTCCTCTCTTCACATACGGATCCCAAGAAGTTGTCTCCATTTGGGCCATACAGAGAATATTCCCCCACACAGGCCGTTGTGGGGGAATATTCTCTGTATGGACCAAATGGAGACAACTTCTTTAGTTATCAGGCATAACTAAAGACTTTGTTTTGGTATCTATCTTTTTGAAAAAAAAAATTCTTATGATTTACCACTATATTTTGGACTTTGTTAATTAGCTGTACTATAGTCCGCTTTGGTGCAACTTTTACTTGTCTTTTCTTCTGTATTCATGACCAGTTGTGTAACATTGAAACTATATACCCCATGCATATAGGATGTTTACTTTTTTTGTACATTGCACTACTTGTTCAGAACTGGTCCTCACACATTGTACCAAAGCAGCATCATTGTATCAGCATGTAAGGTGTTTCATGTACACATGACAAGAAAACAAAAACGACTATTTGAAGTGTACCTGTTTTAGGGATACTCTTGAATTTTCAGACTATATTGTCTTTCACTGGGACTCCCTGATGATGACAGTATTTCTCTATGCAAAGGCTCACGTTTCTTCAACTGCTGTCACAACACTTTCCAGTAATCTGGACTGGATTTGCTGGCCTCCTGAAACAACAGATCTGGTGGCCTTTCACAAAACATCCACCTTGTGTGAAGTTTACTGAATTGTGGCTGCTGCTCAAGCATGGAGCTCCTTATGGACTAGCTAAACAGATGTTTTTTTAGACAATCAAGCACCATATCATATTATAAACAAAGGAGCTAACAGGCGTCTTTTTCTGTGGAGTCCATAGTAGCCTTTAAAGGCACCCAGACCACTTAAGCTTAATGAAGTGGTCTGGGTGCCTGGTCCAGCTAGGGTTAACCCATTTTTTTTATAAACATAGCAGTTTCAGAGAAACTGCTATGTTTATAAATAGGTTAATCCAGCCTCCAGTGGCTGTCTCTTGAAAATCACAGTGAGAAGATGCAAGCGTCCATAGGAAAGCATTACAAATGCTTTCCTATGAGACTTGTTGAATGCGCGCTCAGCTCCTGCCACGCATGCGCATTCAACCGAAGAGGAGGAGAGGAGGCGGAGAGGAGGAGGAGAGCTCCCCGCCCGGCGCTGGAGAAATGTAAGATTTTAACCCCTTCCTCTCCCCAGAGCCCGGCGGGAGGGGGTCCCTGAGGATGTTTACACGAGTATGTTTTCCTGGCACTATAGTGGTCCTTTAAGCAACCTTAGGCTTAAATTATTGCACAACACAATAAAATTATATCTTGCCGGGGTACAACATCATATGCTGTCAATGTTCCATAATAAGCAAGCTTTAATGTCATCTTATCAAATAAAAAACATCCTTAAATGCATCAACCAGTTCACAAGCATCAAGATGATTTGGTTATACAAACTGTTATCTATTTAGTTTTAATGGCTTCCTCTGCCCCAGTTAAGATAATTGCTTAAGGATTCAAAACCTTATGAGAATTAGGGGTTACTATGTTCTGTCTTTTTCATCTTAAGACTAAAAAAACTAGTCACCCTGTATTAAGTTGTTTAAACAATAATAAATGCGGCCCAGTCTTAGATAACCTTATGCTAGGAAGGCAATCTCCAGCCCTAAATGGGGTTCCTCTCACAAATGGGTAAGTTTATGTTGTATGTGAGGATCCTACTCATGAGACTAGGTTGTAATTTCACCTCATATTCAGATCACTCATTTAAAATAGTAGCTGTTTCATCTACTAAAAATACCTCCAGAAAATTTAACTCAGTGGAGCTAAAAATCAAATACCATAGAAACATAGAAACATAGAATGTGACGGCAGATAAGAACCATTCGGCCCATCTAGTCTGCCCAATTTTCTAAATACTTTCATTAGTCCCTAGCCTTATCTTATAGTTAGGATAGCCTTATGCCTATCCCACGCACGCTTAAACTCCTTTACTGTATTAACCTCTACCACTTCAGCTGGAAGGTTATTCCATGCATCCACTACCCTCTCAGTAAAGTAATACTTCCTGATATTATTTTTAAACCTTTGTCCCTCTAATTTAAGACTATGTCCTATTGTTGTGGTAGTTTTTCTTCTTTTAAATATAGTCTCATCCTTTACTGTGTTGATTCCCTTTATATATTTAAATGTTTGTATCATATCCCTCCTGTCTCGTCTTTCCTCCAAGCTATACATGTTAAGATCCTTTAACCTTTCCTGGTAAGTTTTATCCCGCAATCCATGAACCAGTTTAGTAGCACTTCTCTGAACCCTTTCTAAGGTATCAATATCCTTCTGAAGATACGGTCTCCAGTACTGTGTACAATACTCCAAGTGAGGTCTCACCAGTGTTCTGTACAATGGCATGAGCACTTCCCTCTTTCTACTGCTAATACCTCTCCCTATACAACCAAGCATTCTGCTAGCATTTCCTGCTGCTCTATTACATTGTCTGCCTACCTTTAAGTCATCAGAAATAATCACCCCTAAATCCCTTTCCTCATATGTTGAGGTTAGGACTCTATCAAATATTCTGTACTCTGCCCTTGGGTTTTTACGTCCAAGATGCATTATCTTGCACTTATCCACATTAAATGTCAGTTGCCACAATTCTGACCATTTTTCTAGTTTACCTAAGTCATTTGCCATTTGGCTTATCCCTCCTGGAACATCAACCCTGTTACATATCTTAGTATCATCAGCAAAAAGACATACCTTACCAGCAAGACCTTCTACAATATCACTAATAAAAATATTAAAGGGAATGGGTCCAAGTACAGATCCCTGAGGTACCCCACTGGTGACAAGTCCAAGCTTCGAATATATTCCATTGACTACAACCCTCTGTTGCCTGTCAGTCAGCCACTGCCTTACCCATTCAACAATATTGGAATCCAAACTTAAAGATTGCAGTTTATTGATAAACCTTCTATGTGCAACAGTGTCAAAAGCCTTACTGAAATCTACCACTAGAGCAGTTACATCACTTTATTAGACGTCTTGCGGAGGCAGTGTTGCCAACGAGACAGGCCAAAACCTTCGGATTCTACGGGGTCTACAGAATCGCTAAATCCCCACAAGTACTAAACACAGCCCCACATGACCTTATACTGCGGTGCCAAAAAATGTCTGACAAGCTGGGACTCCTGGCAGCTCTGAATGGAATAACACCCTATGACTTCGAACAATGCAAATTATCCTTCTTTCAGGACTTAAGCAGGGCTACGCTAATGTGGCACAAGAATATGCAAGTAGTAACCAAGCCCCTCCAAACTGCAGGAATCACATACAAATGGGCGACGCCAGAGACGCTCTGGGTTACAAAAGACAGACTGCACTACAAGGCCACAGGCCCACAAGACGGACAAGCGCTGCTCACAGCACTAGGACTCACCAGGCTTAATTCGGACTCTGTGATACAGTCTAACTTTCCATCTCAAACCTCACGCTCCAGAGTGCACCGACCTGAGCCCGCTAGCGTGGTCCACACACACACAACATGATACCAGTAATAATATTGTTACGACTATGTGTTCTTATCTTGTTAAGCATTACCCTCTTCAATCCCACCCGTCGAAACTATAACTACATGCTATATTGTACTAAATGCACCCCACAGACTACAGGCCATAGAGACAGCACACTCACGCTGTACCACCTGCAGCGCTGAGGTGGTTAAGTTCCTCCTCCCTCCCCCCCTACAGCCCCAGGGATACAGGGGCACATCCAGCATAAGAGCCCACTCCAACCGCCCCACCAAAAACATAGAGCTATCAGCCTAAAGACGGCAACACACCAGCCAAGACAGGCAGCACAAATCACTCCAGCTCCTACTTGAAGAGACCCAAACTCCCAAATCCCACTACATGACTACAACCCATTCCAGACCTCGTCTAAAACACCTAGCACAAAATACATAGACTGCAGCATAACAACAACTGAAGGGACCCTGGTACAGCCCAACTAGCACCCCTACATGCTACAGACTTGGCTGACTTACACAACCCCTCTACGACTCGCAGCACCAACTCCCTACCACGACTAACTAGTACCCAAAGGCAACACCTAACTAACAAGATCCAGGCATTCATATATTTTTGGCCACACGACCCGACACCTAGAGAGCTGCGAACCCCACATAGATGAGTGGACCCCACTCTCCCTTTTTCGCATTGGAGCCATACCTCGTTATAACCAGCCCCTCCAAACAAAAATGTGCAAATTGTACCTCCACAAAATCCTATATTACTTGTATTGAGTTATAAAATTGTGCTGCAGGGCTGTTGTGGCTCAATGCACTGGTTTGTTATATCCACTTGCACGAAAAAAAAAGAATAAAAAAAAAAGATCTGTGCTTTAAAAGAAGGTTTAGGCTTGCAGCGTCTGCAGATACTATATATGCAGCAATTGAAAGCCATGATTTATATAAAAAAAATGAATATCAGCACTCTGAGAATGGGCAACAGCTTAGAGAAACTCCATTGCTTGCCCTTCAGTCAGTCCCAGCTCAGATCTCAAAAATGTTTTTGCTCATTTGTGCCATTATAAAGAGAATCTTTTGCACTATTTGCATGTCAGACTGATATCACCAATATGGGCAGCCCAGACATGAAATTCCGGCAAGAGCTCTCTGCATGAGAGAAACAGCAACCCCGGATGATTGCTTCTGCCTACTTTGAGCCTCATCAGTGAGGTGTAGCTGATACCCCTCCAGGCACAGTGAGCAATGCGTCTACGTCTGGATTATCAGATTAGGGAAAGCCTAAGCAAATGCTCTAAAGACTACCTCTAAAGAATACATGCAAAACAAATTGCATGCATATTTTATTTGGGGGAAAATATACTAAATTGTTATTTTTTTTATGGAATATTCCTTTGAAACTATTTCATAACAATAACAGTGTGCGTGCTCTGGCTTTACTTTTGTTTTCAGCTAGGTCCCTGATTTCCCTGTTAAAAACATCCATCAGAGTTAAATGAACATGATTACCATGGAAATATTAATAACAAACTGAGTATATTATTATTATTGCCATTTATATAGCGGCAATAGATTCCGTAGCGCTTTACAATATTATGAGAGGGGGATTTAACTATAAATAGGACAATTACAAGAAAACTTATAGGAA